TACAATGGTGATTAAAACCCTGTTACTCAGAATAACCAAGGATTGCCGACAGAGGAATTTTCTGTCAATCTGATAGAATAATTTCTTGCAAGTTAGTAGGAAGTTCTCTGAGAGATATCTGTTGGTGGATATGAAGTTATAGAAGTTTGAAGTCCGATAATCTAAGAAGGTTGCAATTACAACTACTTCCGCAGATACAACTCACAGATGAAACTGATCATTTCATCAATGATGGATACAATTGGAGCCAACTCAGTTCGACTTGAGAACTAGGCCATAAGTCTAAAGGCTCTGATGATCAGATAATTACTATTGGAAACAGCTTGGTTTCTAGTAAGTAATACCGTAATTACTAAAGAGGATGTGGTGATTTTCAGGGTCTTCAAGTATTCAACCCTTTGAAGAATACCTGCCATTGTGAGTTATAATCAGAGAGGTACATAGTTATATAATAGATAGAGGTAGACTGCGAACATTCTGACACAGAATATAAATATCAAAGTACCTCTCAAGCTTTTAGACATCATCAAGCAATGGAGATGAGACCTTAACAATATAATATTGTCTTCACAATTCAATTCTACCTTACCTACTTCGGTCTTAGTAGTTATAAATAAAGTGAGTGTAATCCGAGCCTTCCTAAACAATCTCCGTCTATAGAAACAAATCTTCATTGGCCTAGACAACTCTGTAGTCTATCAGGTTGTCTCTGCCTAACACCTTACTCTTAGTAGTCATAAACAAATTGAGTAAACCTTTGAGCCTTCTTAGACAAATCACCATCTAAGAAATAAATCTCAATTGACTTAAACTATTCTGAGTTTATACAGATCGTCTCTACCTAACAGAAGTATTCTGGGTAGGATAAATCAACTCAGAATTGGAATATCTACTGTCCACACCCTTCTCTGGCTCCCTTACAGGTCCTGCATGTTCTCATACATATTATTATCAGTTGCATCCTGTGACTATATTGTCACAAAATTGAAGGTACTTGAATAACACCTTTTACGTCGCTGCCCTCTGTCTGACTGGATGCTGTTCACAGAATATATGAGAGGAGACCTTTAGCAAGGTCTGGGAAGTAGAACAGAGTAAATCCGTCCACCACTCAGAGAGTTACGAGGCTTCAAAGATGGAACATCTTTGATATAAGCTACAAGTAACAGGACATTTTTGCACAATGATATGATATTGAATGCTAAAGGATTTCTACAAAGAGCCAAGGCATTCACATCCACTCTACAATATTTAGAAGAGTTTAGAACTTCTAGGAAACACCTTTGGAGAAGCCAATAGACTTTATGAAGTATTACAACCAGGTTAAGGGATGCATTGTTGTTGCAGGAATCATCACCAATACCATATAATGACTAAAGCCCTGTTACACAGGCCAACTAGGAGTTGCCAATGGAGGGATTATCTGCCAATCCGGTAGAATAGCTTCCTGAAATTAGTAGGAAGTTATCCGGAAAAAATTCCCATCAATGAAATGATCAGTTTCATCTTAAGTCTTAGTTTGTAGGAGTAGTCGTACTGTGAAAAACACTGAGACCCGCCGTCTCAGGCACCCCTACAATCAGCACGTCAGCAGCCCGCGATAAATTCAATTTGACGGGTCAACGGAATTGGGAATCCTAGTTATTGTAATGAGATCTACCAGTAACACCTCCACCGGTACTCGAGTACAGTACTAGTACAGTAGTATGTCGATCTTATCGTGTCGGGAAAACGCTAATCCTTCTCAGGAGCTCTTTTTAACTCAGAATCCGGAGATTACAGGGGTGCATGAGACGGCGAATCTCGAGAGTTTCTACTGTGCCGCATGTTCTCTAAATTGTGATGGATCTATCGGTGTTTTATTTTGTTTTTTTTGCATCTCTTATTTTCGGGAAGACTGGTTGTGAGTAAGCTTAATAGATAAACTCTCCGCAAAGCATATGATACATCAAGGAAACGCCTGCCAGAAAGTTTGCCAACTCTATTTACCGTGATAGGCCTGTAACCTATGATACGCCAGTCTGTTGGAAATATGATAATTACAATATGTACTGCTTGCAGGCTCCCCCTCCCTCCCGGGAACTCACTAGACCCGCGATGTTTTGGGCTGAGGGGCGGAGAGTTCTGCATATGGGGCTGCTGTATCATACCTTGGTTGAGATTGTGTAGTTACTACGGTATTATATGTCTACTACTTTCGCCCAAAAGGCTATCATACTCAGCCGAATTTCTCCCTATCTTAAGCAAGGCTTAGCGCTAACCTCCGGGTTCGAGTTGTTTTCTATAACCGGGAACCCCCCCCACAATTCCTTATCAAA